TCAATTAACACCTTGGCCATTTGGTATTCAGCAGTAGGCGCGGAATGGGCATAGACGTAGGGCCATTATGGGCACTTGGTCGCACTCCTCATTGGATGCAATTCGTAGGGAGAGTCACGTAGAACGACAGTTTTCGACCCGGACAAATGGCATATGTCTGGTGACAACGACCTGACGGCTTCATTAGACGCGGACATATATCAGAAATGTGTCGGACTAACGACTCAGTAGAGTTATGTGAGTTGTCAAAAGGATTTCCTATAATTTGAATGCTTCCCAATGTCGTGTTCTCGGTTAAATCGCCGTCTCGAGATGACTTTGTAGACGTGCCTTTGAAATGAGTTGGGCTTGGCGAGCCGGGGGCCCCTTGCCCGACATCTGCTGCCTGCCCGTGGGCAAATAAATCAAACTCGGAGTCAAGTGAAGACGGCACCAGCAGCTCGTAAAACAAATTTCGCCGATTCGACGAATGTTTGTTAATTATGGTTTTGCGTAACATTCTTATTGCCAATGCACATCCATTCTCTGGCCCGCCACTGGCCCGGCCAGTGGCCCAGCCACAGGCCCAGCCACTCGTGAGTAATTTGTGTTTGAACTCGTTAAACTGTCGAACGATAATGGGCGAATGCGCAGATACTTGTTGCCCCATATGCAGCGGCACGACCACGTGCCTGCTTCCCGGCTCCGCTTTCACTGCCCCTGCCCAAGCCCCTGCCGCGAGTCAACTTGGGTGCATCTTCTGAAATGGCACGTCCGGCCGAGAGCTCCAATCGTTCGAATGCAATTTGCAACAATTTAAGATTTCTGTTGCCGTAGCGCCCCATCGAAGCCAAACGCCAGCTCGCATTGCCCAGCACAAGCACACATCGAATCCGGTTCGTACAAATTCCTGCGATGCACCCTGAAAATCTGAAAATGTTGCCAGCATCGCATTAGATGGGCCCACAGGCCCTACGTCTATGGCGCAGAATATTCGTCTGGCGTCAGCCATATAGTCTTACAGCCCATCCAAGGGAATGTGTAGAGTGAAATGGGGGCGGGCTGGTCAGGGTTGTCTAGGGCTGCCCAGGGGTTGCCTGTAGAACAGCAGAAAACGATATGGGATCACGCCGGCGCTTAAATGGAGGTATCCAGTTCCGATGGACCTATTCGAAATGCGCCTTTCCTCAATATATATGTATATATATATATATATATATTGTTGGGGCGTGCGGAAGCTACATGAGATATTTCCGTACCTTTCGTGTAGAGTCAATTATGTGTTTGAGCGAAAGAATGCCATCGAATAGAAATGATAGCCATTCCGTTATTAATCGCATATCTAGATAGATTTATTTGAGAAATTCCAATATATAATTGTAAGAATTTTATGGATATCCTCCTTCATTGAATGATACATAAGAAGAACAAATATTTCATTGACAATACGGAAGAAATTAAAATATTTTCAATTTTGTAGCTTAAGTAATAGAAAATAAGGTTTAATCTCTGTCTCCCAGCGTGTGCTTCATAAGACTGATTAATTGTGCTAAGCCCCTTATAGCTTATCCATAAAAGTTATGCATTATGAGTTTCGCATAGAAAAGTATGACTATATTATCATGACTGTATTTGTAGGCTCATTCATCCATTCATTTTACTCACATAAATAGAGAATGCGGACTTAATTTCGTATTTTTTCTTTTAAATCGAAAAATAACTCCGTTTTTTTTTTCTTATCTCCTAAGGGCTTAAACAAAATT